TTTTAATTTTATGTCCCTCCCTCTTTTTTTCTCTTTGTTGACCTTTCCCTATATAAATCCTTTCCCTCTCCCCAAATGCGTTCAGTTCAGTCTAAGTTCATTCATATATTTTGTTAGTAAAAGGAAAAATAAAATATATTTATTTCTTTTGATATTTATTTAAATTAGTGTGGACTCCTTTTCGTTATTACTACTGAGGCAACTACTAACTAAGGAGAGAATTCGAGTTCTGGTTCAATTATTAAACAAATTTAAAAAATATCCTTACATCAATAAATTCAATATTTTCAGTTTTGTTATCTTTATTCCATCCACTAAATTTTACACAGCTAATTAAACCTTGAATAGCTAGCCAAACCCTTCCAACTTTTGCATTATTTTTATCTAAATGATCGAGGATGTGTGTAATAAATTCTCTGAAATAAATGTAAAATACGATCCATTGTACCAAAAGTAATTTGGATTAACTCGGAGTTTAAATTAATTTGGGACTAAATATATTTCCCGGAAAATTGATTACCCGCGAGAGTGATCAACATTGAAATTGATCAATTGGGAGTTGAAAAACAATTTTTTATCACTTTGATTTCAGTTTTAGATAAGATTCGTTTTTTCACTTGGTGACCAAAATTCCGGTACCCTCCCGACTCGAATTCCCAAGTTTTTGGCCTCTCAATCCCGACTCCCGAGGTCATTTCCCGACCCGACTCCCGTTTTCCGAGTTTTTTCTTCTCCCGAACATCACTAAAATATATTTACAAATTTACCTAGCATCTCCACATAATTTGTACTCAGAAGAAGGTTTTACACATGGAGCAATATAAATATCTACATTTTCAAATCCTGCTGCTCTAGCATTTATTATATTTATTTCTGCATCTAAATCAACTTCTCCAGTATTATAATTATTAGCCTCAACAATAACAAATTCTTTTGAATATTTTTCTTTTAAACATTTGAATGTTGAAACTCTAAATATTCTAATTAAAAGAAATATAAAAATAATTTTTACCTATACCATTTTTCCAATACAACAACTCCTTCACTTGTCTCGACAATTTGAAAAATTGTGAAAAATAAAATGGACTTGAATATAAGCAACAAATAAATATTGCTCATTCTGAATTCTTTTAAATTTTTTTTAGAAATAAAAACAAAATAGATTTTTTCTTTTTATTAATTATATTTAGGTTTATTTTTAATAAAATGCTTTAGCGATATAGCGAACTGAAACTGCGACGAAAGATAAAATGATTAATTAGTAAAATATTTTTGTAATGCTAAAGTACAAAGTTTTAAAAATTAAATAAAAAAGTTAAAACTTCCATACGCTATAATCAGGATATAAGACCTGAAATTGGAGCTCTAAATCCAATTTCATGCGCCTACGAACTCGAAAAAAAGCTATTTATTGTCTTCTACAGTAAGGTTGGCGGATATTTGGAAATCTTCTGATCCGATATCCGAACCGAAAATTTAGGATATCCTGTCTTTTTTCGGATCCGGATATCCGGACTGCGGATTTTTTAGAACCAGTGTTGCAGATTACCGTCTCAAGATAATACCCCTTCATCACCGAAAAATAATAATTAAAAAATTATTGAATTGAATGAACATATTTTCTAAAAATTGAAAAGATTTTAGTTGATAGAAACGTCATTCAATTAGAATAAATACGGTAAATAAAGCATAAGAATTAGAAAGGTTTTTTGTTCCTCATACTTTTAAGGTTTTAATTAATTTTTTGAAAATTTTTTGAGTAAGTTGGAAATATTTAAAATAATGTATATTAAAGCTTAAATTAAAATATGCAAATAAACAAAAGGTAAAAAATTTACTAGAAATGCTCCATATATAAAATTACATTTTGTATTAACCTTAAGTTTACATTTTCTCTCACAAACAAACCTAATCTATAAAAAGTATTTTTCTAATTTTTGGGAAGGGAGTTCACTATGAGCTCCCGTATTAATTGAATATTTAGCAAGAGGTGATTTTTCGTGGATTTTATTTAGATCCGGCTGTCAGGATTGAAGTACGATATAGATATTTCAAAAAAATTTTGTATCGATAACAATAAATTAGAACCGATCTATTCTGTCTAACCTACATTTCGAGATTTCTCTAAATTTTCATTAAAAATTTGTATATTAAAATAAAAAAGAAAAAGCCTATTACAAAATTTTTTCAATATTTTCAACATACATAAATATTAGAGTTTCACCGGAAGTTCCGGTTCCGGTTCCGGAAAGTTCCGGTGTTTTTTTGGTTCCGGTTCCGGTTCCGGGAACCGGAACCCATATTGGATCCGGTTCCGGTTCCGGCTCCGGTTTTCAAATCGGTTCCGGGCAAACGGAACTTTTTTACACCCCTAAAGATTGATTTTTTTAAAAAAATATTAATAAACTACTCGTACTCTCATACTTGTAATAAAAAAATCGAAAGAAATATGTTTATTTTCTTTCAATAGCATTCTGATGAGCGGGTGTCCGAGTGGTTAAGGGTTTAGGCTTCACTCAAGGCGTTAGTGATTTTAAGTTGGGTTCGCTTCCCGGTCGTAGGACAATAACTCTTAAAATTTTTCTTTCAACAAATAACTCATTTATTGAGTTTAATTTTGTTTTAAAAATCATTATATTTTTACATGGAGTAATTACGGTTTTTTGGACCTCTAAAATTCTTAAAATTTTTCGTATGACTAATAAATGATGAATTTTGCTGCTTACAGCCTTAAGAAATTTTCACAATTTTCGCCTGCGGCGCTGAAAAAGATAGTTGAATGGTATAACGGATGATTTGGATGGATCAATGTGGATTTTGAATTATATAGTGTGACATCAATGGGCCTATATCCTTCTTTACTTCCTTATCCCCATAAAACGTATATCGCTCCTTCTTCCACTGATATCCCTTAAACCCCCTTACAATTCTGAATCCTTATATCGTCCGATATCAAACACTTATACCACCAAATCCGTTCATACACCACTCTCTAACCCAAATATATCACTTATCGTCGACGACGATTTTCGGTTCGGTTTTGGTTAATCAAAAGTCTCGGTTCGGTTCGGTTTTGGTTAACCGAAGAAGTTGGTGAACAGTCAACTCTACTTAAACTACAAATTTTTTAAAATTTGTTAGAAAAAATTTTTTTAAAAGTTCCGGTTCCGGTTCCGGGCCGGAACTTTGAACAGTTCCGGTTCCGGTTCCGGAAACCGGAACTCAAATTGGATCCGGTTCCGGTTCCGGTTCCGGTCAAAATTTCGGTTCCGGTGAAACACTAATAAATATGTAACAGATTTTTATAAATTTAACAATAGAATAATAATTAATACAAAAATTAAAACAAAAGTAAAAATGTTTAATATATTAAATTACATTTTATATTTATTATATATCATACAAAGACTTTTACGTGGAACTCTTATTTGTGTATTTGAAGGGTTGTGTTTGAATTAAGTGCCAACAGGCCTTGTCGATTTGGATTTGTCGAAAAATTTGAATATATGTAGATACAGAAAATTTTTGAATGGATCTCATTTTGGCATATCGATATTTCTTATATTTTTCGAAAATTTTAAAAGAACAAAAAGAAAATTGTAATTACAAAAAGCTACAAAAAACTGGGGCCTTGTTTTCGAGGTTTGAAAAAGAGTTTTTAGGAAAAATTAGAAAAATTAAGGGAAACATGAACGTCCCAAAAGTTTTTTTAGAAAATTATTGAATTTCACAATAGTCAATAAATTCTTCAATAAATAAAATTTTATTTTTTGCTAATAAGTCAAGTCATGAGCTTTTCTAAATTAATTTTTGTTTTTAATTGAATAAACAAAAATAATAAATTTTAGCAAAAAATTGCCGTTTTAAATACAAAAATAGAAAATGTACCCTTCAAAACTCAATTTTTTGATTAAAAATATCCAGTTGTTTAAATATTATTAAATAAATTTTGTATCTGATGTTTGGGGGGAATTCTTAAAGTAAAAAGTACATATTAGACAATATAAATACAGTTAGGGGGAGTTAGGTAATAAATCATTTTAATTAATTAAATCTTCCCTTGAATTCTTAATATATTTTTTTATTTTAAAGTAAGAGCGAGATAAAAGTTTAATACCGGGCAGGCTTAGATCCTGCGACCTCCTAGCAGTTATTGATAGGCGCTTTCACTCACCACGTACAGGTGCTCTACTAACTGAGCTACCGGGACGGTACTTTCACCTTCTTTTTTAATAGATCCAGCTGGATCCTTCTCTTCCTTACATTAAAAATATTTTTGGAGGAATTATTAATTATAGAAAAATTTTATTCCCTAATCAAGAAAATATTAGACAGCCTTTTACATTTTTCTTTATCAATTTATAGGCAATTTGACTGAAATTGGGTGCTCTTTTTAATTCATATCGAACTGGATTTTCTTACAAACTGACTGATTTATCTAATTGCTCGAGTTAATTATTCCCTACAATTAAAAAAATAAAGACAAACTAAAAAATTTTAAACAGGAATCTTACATAACTGTAGGTATTTGCAGATCGAGAAAATCCTTGATGATAGATCGGTAGGGATTTTCTGGGTACTAGATTAGTTTATGGGCAGTCTTAGGTGTCCATATGCCTCAATTGAGTGAGTCACAATCGACGGATAAAAAATTAAAATCAAAAAGAGATTTGGGGTTTAAAAATTTTTAAATTTCCCATGCGGGCTTTTAAATTTTAAATTTCCCATTAAAAACAAGTTTTTGGCCTTTTAAAACATTGGGTTTGAAATATTTCTTCCATGACTTGTCCAATCACTTGGCTAAGGGACAAGTCTTCTAAAATCTTTATCTAGTGCTTCATATTTATTAATTTACTAGCAATTTAAACATTTTTAATTTGCAAACTAATTATTTTTAAATTTTTATTTTATTTTGATTCAAATAGAAATTTTTTTTCGATCATCCCATATTACAACATTTTTATTATTTTAATTGCCAATTTAAGAATTTAAATTAAAAAATGTTTTCCTCCCCAACAAAAATTTGCTTGCTTTTTCTTTCAATTTTTATATTATTCCAATTAAACAATTGTGAAGGGTTATGTGTTGGTAAAGGATATGTTTGTGGTAGTGGTGGACGTCAATGTTGTGACAAATTAATTTGTAACGGAGGTGAATTTTGTATACGAGATAATGATTTATAAATAACGAGAAATCGTCTTGAAACGAAATTTAATTATGTATATTTATATTTTTAGGTTCATGTGATGATTGCCCTCCTTTAGGAGCACCTTGTACTGAGGATATTAACTGTTGTGCAGGCCAAAGCTGTCAACGTAAATTTCGCATTATGAAATAATTAATTAAATATAGGGAGAAAAATGTAGAGAAATGTGGTATTATTTATAGACCCCGGGAGAAATGAGATATTATTTATAGAGCCCGGAAAATAACGTAATACCGATGATAATTGTCGGTATTTATCGGCAATCGTCATGGCAGTACGGTACGGAAAATGAAATAAAGAACGATATAAATTTTCAGTTTTTCGTTATTTATCGTATTTGGATCGGTATTGCGTTCGAGGAGGCAGCGCCAAGGGGGGAGAGCGGGGACGGGGAAAATTTTTTCTTTTTACGGGGGAGGGGGGGGGGGACGGGGAATTTTCAAAAAATGTCTCAAATTCCCCGACTTTTGGGGACGGGGACCAACCCTACTCTTAGTTATAAAATTCCGGGCTTTTGCAATATCAGAAAATGAAACGTCATTATTGTAGTTCTGTACCAAAATTATAATTCCAGCCCTATTTATGTACCAGGGCTGTCCAATACCGAAAATTTTCCAAGACTCAAGACCAAGAGCCTTTGACAGCTCTATTATCTACCTATATACTTTTAGACTCACAATGTCATACCTGTTTGGGTAAAGGAGCAACATGTGAGCCGAAAAATAATCCGAAAAATGATAGATGTTGTGGATTTTGTGTTAAAGGAATTAATCGTTGTAAGTGAAAATGAGAAAAATGTTGTGGAGTGAGAGGGGATGTTTATAGTATTTTCCAAACGATGAACGTTTTTTACTTTCTTTTTCAAATTTGGCTGTTAAATTCTTTTCTTTTTCTTTAAAAACTATTTTCTTTAATGCTTTAATTTTATTAATTAATGCTTCAATTACATTAATTTAAATGCATTTTTTAAAATAAAACAAGGGGATATTAAACGATTTTTTAAAATTGTAATCTATGTAGGTCAGATTTTTAATATAATTAATACATCCTGATCAGAGCTGCACGAAAATGAAATTTTGCCTCCAACGAAACAAAAACGAAAAAAATAAAATCATCATTGTACGAAACGAAAACGAAACGAAAATGTCTAAATTAGGAATCTTTAAATTTTAAAGCTAGATAATAAGTTTTTCGAGGTTGTACCTGTCTAAATGCATCAAATATTTGCTAGGATTGAAATATTTGCCCCAAATTTTTTGATATCACTTCAAATACTTTAATATCCACTTGATCCATTATATTTTCTGATATTCTTTTGGAGGTAAGAAATATATCGGGTGATTTGGAGTAATTAAAAGGAAGTGTGTGTATATTATTAAGTGGATTAGGAGGAGATATTTAGGGGCCAAGGGATTTAGAGGCGATATTGATCTCCGATATCCGCATTAATCCGCAAAAATCCTCTAATGTTCTTTGAATCCCTGTATCCCTCCCAGTCTCTATCCCTATAGTCTAATAAATTTTCTGATTGCAGCGTGCATGCAATTTTTTTTATAAATTTCCATTCCCCGGAGAAAGAATTATCAAATTTGACATTTAATACTTTTTTAATCAGCTTTTAATCAGCTCGATTCTCACAAATCTCTCAATAACTCTATTAATCATAATATCCCTCGATATGTAGAGTCCAGTAAATTAAAAATAAATTATGAAATTTAATAGTTAAATTTCTTCTAAATAAACTCCTCCTTTTAAAAATTTTCCTTTCCAAAGAATTTTAAAAAGAAATTCGAAGAACATATTTCAAAGGGCCTACCCCAGAAGGTCAAAACCAGAGGTCAAATGACCCAAAAGGTTAAATACAAATTTTGTGCGGATACAGATGACTCATGCTCAAGGATAAGTTTGCCTGCTTTCTTTTACATTATCCGACAGTTGCATGTTTAAAAACATAAAAACATTATAAAAAACTGGTTAATGCGACATGTGTTGCATTTTTACCATTGTGTTCTTTTTAAGAATTAAGCCAATTCATGGCCATTGTAATAGATGTTCTCGGTTTCTCAAAAAATATTTGAACTTATACATGCATGGCTTAAGTGCTTTGTTTGTGTTTTAATCTCGTACCTTATGATAAAGTACAAAGTCCCCATTGTTTGTTATTCCATCTCCCTCTTAAGAACTTTGTACTTTTATTGTAATTTGTTTAATATTTTATTTATTTTTTTGTAATTTTGGGGAAATTATTGTAGCAGTCAGTCCTTTAGGATATAAAAATGGAGATCACTTTAAATTATGACTCAATTTAATTTTTTTTCAAACAGATCCATTTAGGACAAAAAAATAGAGAAAATAATAATGATCTGCAGCTTTTTACGAACTACCTGATTTTGTAACAAATATACCTACTACATATGTACACTTTATTATACACAATTATAAAATAGAATATAATATACTGTATTTACTATAATAGAGCTCAATAGAGCAGTCCTCAAGCATGGGGCTGGTTGAGCTGTACTAGAGAGTGGAGCTCTAATTCAGGGTGTGTGGAGCTCTAATCAGGTGTGCATAGCTCTAAGCTATGCACACCTGATTAGTCTAAGCTCTAATTCACCCAATATTCTGGACTTATACTTGAGGCATCGCCTCTTGAGACCCTACTAAACCGTACAGAACTTATCAGGTAAACAACATCAATTCTTTCTCGGCCCAGTAAAAGCTTTACTATACCAAATAAATTTTATCATAATTTTATAAAGCAAGAGGATTTTTCTTTAATTTTTTATCGGAATATATATCAGTAACATTTACTCCACAAATTTCTTCATCTTCATATCCCTTCATTGTAGGCCTTCTCCAGCCGCCAAATGGATAACCATGCTCATAATAATCATTAAAATTGTTTTTACTATCCATATGAAAATATAAAAGTGGAATATTGTTATAATCTTTAGTGTTTCCTGTAATTTCTTGCCAATGATTTTTACGTGCGATAAATCCAAATAATTGGTTTCTTTCTTTTAAAGTGTTGACCATGCCCTTAAATTAAAAATTTTAAAAGGAATATCGACGGTAAAAAATTTTTTAGACCTCAATAAACTCGACATTCGAAGCCTTGTTATCTTTATCCCATCCATTTGCCTCGACAATATACAACCAAACTCTTCCAAATTTTACATTAATTCTATTTAAATAATCGAGTACGGATGTAATTGATGCACTTAATTAATAAAAATGACTAATTAATAAAAATCTAAGCCGAAAGATTGCTCTTCAAGTTTATATGCCCAAGCGGGGAGCAGGCCAGTGTACCGCCGAGCTATAACTTTCTTCAGAATTGCCGAATCCGTGGCGCCATGGTATGGTTCGATTCAGCTGGTCGAGCCGGATCGAACCATACCAGAGCGCCACGGATTCGACAATTTATAACAAAGTTATAGCTCGGCGGTACATTGGCTCGCGGTACATCGGGGTGTACCCGCCAAGCGATTGGCCTCTTTATAAATCTTAATAGATGTTCCCCATTTCCTAGCCATAAAAAGTCCCCGTTTCTCTGTTTAAGTACTGCTAGGGATGATTGTTTAAGGACCATATGAATTTTAGCCAGCGAATTCCTACCTTCCGTCTCCACATAAATCGTACTCAGGAGAAGGCTTAACACAAGGAGAAAACAAAATATCCACATTCTCGATCCCTGCTGTTTTGGCATTTATTATATTTAATTCTGCATTTAAATTAACTGTTCCTGCATCGATATAATTAGCTGGAAAAATAACAAATTCCTTTGAGTATTTTTCTTTCAAGCATTTGAATGTTGGAATTCTAAATATTTATTTTAATTAAAAATTTTTGTTTATTTTAACAAAAAAAATTTTGATTAAAATTTTCAACAGCAAGAGGAGTCACCAACCCATCTTAACTAGGGATGCCACTTAAGCCTCGCCCAGTATCCAACTACTTTTTAAAAGACGTTTCATAAATAAGGTTGACGGTTCCTGGGGAATCCCAGGATATCCGGAACCGGAACCGATATCCGAACCGAAAATTTCCAGATATCCGGGGTTTTTTCGGTTCCGGATACACAGAACAGCCAACCTTATTCATGACTAAAGATTTAAGCCAAGCCGAGACTGTAAAGATAGTTTCGTGATTAACATTTTTTCATAATAATTTTTTAATATTATTCTTACCTATGCCAATCTCTCCATATAATAACTCCTTCACTTGCGTTAACATAATTTTTAAAAATCATAAAAAATAAAATGGAGAAAAGTAAAGGAAGAAAATTAATGTTGTTCATTATGAAATCTGTATTATATGTATATTATTGGTTAACCCTAAAACTCTGCAAAGAATTTGGAAAAACAGGAACAACGTTTGAAGTGCCTTTAGCTACCTATCTTGAAACAGCAATTTGGAGGCGGTAAACCCCCCGTAGTCAAGGACCTCTAAAACCCTATTTAAAAATTTTACTATTTATTAATCTAAAAAGAAGCTTGGGAAAGGAGAAAATTAAGGAATTAAAAATGTGTTTTTGTTGCGATTGTCAAGTCCTTATATTAGGTTATTTTAAGAATAGAATTTACAAATTAGTGACAGCTGTTTAAAAATAATTAAATACCAATTCTATAAACAATTTTATAAATTAATGTCACAAATTTTGAACAATAAAAACATTTAAATAAATAAGTATTTGATTGAGTGATGACTAATTTTGAGTTTATGGGTAGGGATCGGATTTTAAAATAAAGCTATCCAAAAATAGGTTGTATAATATTTATATCAAAATTGCTGACAAAATGAAGAAAAAGGTGACAAAAATGTAGAAATAGGTTGCAAAAAAAGGACGATGTAGGGGTAGGGTTGCCGTTAACGGTTCGAGCCGACGTTCGGTGCATATTTTTCGAGCTTGGTTTTTTCGATTCGGTTCGTTTTCGAGCCTTTCGAGCTGAAAAGCCTCGGCTCGCTCGATCTTTCGAGTTTCGGGTCGAGCGAGCTGGCAACCCTACATAGGGGGGCAACAAAGACAAAAATTGATAAGAATTTTTGTAATAAAACGTATTTTTAGGAAAATTTTCAAAATACATACATAAATGCCCTTAAAAATGTTAAAATATAAGCAGAAACAAAATATAGATGGGTGCCTTATATTGTATATTTTAAAATTTGTATAAAATATGATTTGGAATAGTTTATGTCTTTTTTTTGTTCCAACCCTCGAATACAGCCCTATTGAAGGAAACTGAAAGTTTATTCATTAAATCCTCGCGAGGCTTACGTCTATCCATATTCTGGGCTTATCCTTGGCAGGCATCACCTCTTGAGACCCTAACACTGCGCGGAACCTATTAAGTCAAACAACATAAATTCCTTCCCGGTACAGTAAAAGCTTTACTATATCAAATAAATTTTATCATAATTTTATTAAACAAAAGGAAATTCTTTCTTTAATTTTTTTAACAGAATGGTATATATCAGTAACTGTTACTCCACAAATGTCTTCATCTTCATATCCCTTCATTGTAGGCTTTTTCCAGCCACCAAATTGATAATCATATTCATTATAATCGTCAAAATTGTTTTTACCATCAAAATGGAAATATATAAGGGGAGTATTATTATAATCTTTAATATTTCCTGTAATCTCTTGCCAATGATTTTTACGTGCGATAAATCCAAATAATTGGTTTCTTTCTTTTAAAGTGTTGACCATGCCCTTAAATTAAAAATTTTAAAAGGAATATCGATAGATTTGCCTCAATAAACTCGACATTCGAAGCCTTGTTTTCTTTATTCCATCCATTTTCATCGGCAATATATATCCAAACTCTTCCAAATTTAATATTAATTCTATTCAAATAATCGAGTACGGATGTAATTGATGCGCTTAATTAATAAAAATCTAAGGCAAAACATCGCTCATTAAATTTATATGCCTGGGCGGTCGGGCGATTCTTCTATTAATATCTTAATTGGGGTTGTTCCCCGACAGGGGGGGGGAGGGCCACGGGGATAACTTTTCGGGGAGACAGCGTCACGGAGGGGGGACGGGGACGAGAAAAATTTTTCCTTTCGCAACGGGGTGGGGGGGGGGGGGATTTCAAAAAATCTCTCAAATTCCCCGACTTTCGGGGACGGGGAACAACCCTAATCTTCATACATGTGTAGATGTTCCCCATTCCTCGCCCAAAAAGTCTCCGTTTCCGCCTCCCATTCCCCGAGATTAATTTTAAGCTGTGAATTCTTTTACCTTCCATCTCCACATAAATCGTGCTCAAAAGAAGGCTTTACACAAGGGGAAAATATGATATCTACATTTTCAATCCCTGCTGTTCTGGCATTTATTATATTTAATTCTGTATCTGAATTAATTTTTCCTGTGTCAACATAATTAGCAAAAACAATAACAAATTCTTTCGAGTATTTTTCTTTTAAGCATTTAAATGTTGGAATTCTAAATATTTTAATTAAAAATTTTCGTTTAGTTTAACAAAAAATATTTTGATTAAATTTTTCAACAGAAAGAGGATTATAATCGAAACTCCTTAGAAAATACAGGGCTGTATTTGGATCTATACGGTATACATCTTAACGATGGGTCTTGCATGGGCCTGTCCAACTAACTTTTAAAAGACGTAACATGAATAGAGATTTAAACCACGCTGAGACTTTACAGATACGTAAATCTTCTTGTATAGATCTTCTCGTAAGCTATAACGAGCTATAACCGCAGAGCTATAACTTCGTTCAAAATAGTCGAATCCGGGACGCCTGGCATGGTTCGATGCATCTCGACGAGCTGTATCGAACCATATCAGGGCGTCCCGGATTAGACCATTTTAAACGGAGTTATAGCTCTGCGGCAAGTTGGCCTCGCGGTACGTTGGAGTGTACCCAATATAAGCACACTTTACGGGAGGATCGAAAAATGAAAGCACATGTGGTTCCATTAAAAGATTTACGATAGTTTCAGTTTCAACAATTTTTCATTAGAATTTTTTAACATTCGTTTACCTATGCCAATCTTTCCAAATAATAACTCCTTCACTTGCATTGACATAATTTTTAAAAATCATAAAAAATAAAATGGAGAAAAGTAAAGGGAAAAAGTTGAACTTGTTCATTTAAAAATTTGTATCAGGTATTAGAAGATTTACGGTAGTTAATTAGAATATTAAGAAAATCAGGTGTTAATTCTAAAATTACTAAAAATATTTCTTTTGTTGAATTAAAACAAACTACTGTAAATATTCTAATAGAAGCCCACCTCTAATTCAAGCCCATCTGAGGAGACCCATTGAAAAATATAGCCCAGGGCTTCAATTAGACGCTAAATGGATCTTTACTTTTATAATGCTAAAATTTAATTATAAAAATCCATCATTATCATATTTATTTATTTACTTCTTCCGCAAACAAGATACAAGAATATTAAAAAAATCAAAAAATTCCCCAACTAGAAAACTTTGATTTATGCTGGTCGGTTTTAAAAATGTCTGCAGACAGATCAAAGAACAAAACCGAAAAACCTGCGAACTTTGGGTTAAAAGCTGAAAAGACTAAGAAAATTTGAACTTTATTTTGAAAGGCTTTATCTTGGAACAACGATTTAGAGGAGGTAATTGTTGTAATAAAACGGCTGACTTCTTGTCGCTGCAGGGCATTGGATGGGGTCCCTTCCGTAGTGAAGGACCCGCTGTAAAATTTTCTATTTATCAAGTTAAAATAAAAAATGTGTGAAAGATAAAATTAAAGAATTAAAAAGTGTTTTTGTTGCAATTTGCCAATCCTTATATTAGATTTAGTGACAACTGTTTAAAAGATAATTATAAATACTAATTCTATAACTATTATTTTATCAATTAATGTCACAAATTTAACAATAAAAACATTTAAATAAATGAGTATTTGATTGAGTGACAGCTAATTTTAGGTTACGAGTGGGGATCGGATTTTAAAAAAAAGCTATCTAAAAATAGGTTGTAGAAAATGTAAACATTGCTGACTAAATGAAAAAATATGTGACAAAAATGGAGAAATAGGTTGCAAAAAAGGTCGACATTGAGGTAATGGCAAAACTTAATAATAATTTTTGTGGAAAAACTTTTTAGGAAAAATTTTCAAAATAAATGCCAAAGACATAAAACGTTAAAGAAACAAAATAGGGTTATAATAAATATTTCCAAACAAAAAATATTCAAAAAATAACAAAGGATTTGAGCTTCCGAGCCAAAATTATTTCAGGAATAAATAGGATCTAACCTAAATATCCTATCCCTAGTTAGATGCTTGCCACAAATATCAACTTTGTCCTCTTAAGGGTTTCCATTTTGGTCCTATCTTAAGCTAATATTGTATCTAAGTTCTATATCGTTATTTGACTTCAATTTATTCTACACGATTACAATAACAACTACAATACAATATACTACATTTATAAACAGAACATCCTACATATATTAAATACAAATATCACAACAATTACTATATATTTATCCAACAATTCAGAATCCTTTCCTTTTATTTGCTTTTGCTGACGAATACACAGATGAGGAGAGCGGTGAACATTAGAAGCCTAAAAATTAAAAAGAATATTTTTCAGTCCAAAAATCCTTCTAAAATCCTTACAATATTATAGAGCCAACAATAACGAGAGTAATTTGCAAAGTTTTCTTTGAATCCTTTTTAGTCCCTTCGTTGTAGCAATCATTTGTAGATGGTTTTGTAGGTGGCGGGACTTCAGGCAAATTACTTCCATTTTTAGGCTTTATTCCGCCTTTTTCAGTTGACTTTTCTGGTTGTGTAGGATTGGTAACAACATTCGGAAAGCCAACAGTCGGACAGTCAGTAACACAAGGCGGACAGGTAGCCATCGTTGTCGTTTCTTCTGTAGTCGTTTGTTTGACAGAATTATCAGGAACGAGCATTTTATAGGCAAAAGAGTACTTAATTAAGAGTTTTTTGAAACTGATTTAACAAAAAATTCCCAACTTACAAATTTAATATACATTTTGTCGCACCGTTGGAATGCCGCATTATCGTTACAATTCTCCTTATCCGCATCCTCATTACATTTCATCCAAATATTCTGCATGCTCATTTGCATAGAAGTTATTGGAAGAATGTGGAAAGTATAGAGAAGATTGTAGATTCTATCGGTATAGTCCTCATCCGTAATTTCCCATCTTTTTGGTTTACGAACATTTTCTTGTTTGAAGCAAGAGTATGTTTTCGGGGATTCTGTAAAGAATCTAAAACCCATTCCATCAAAGTAATAGTAAGCGTCTGCCTCATGCTGATCATGCTCCGTTATATGAACAGTTGCCGAAAAATCAGGTTCACCGACTAAATTGTAAATATTTACTTAAAACAGACGACTGTCAAGCGTTGGGCTCGAGTGGCCGCTTATTCCTCATTCAGTGTAAGGAAGAAAAGGATCATATGTGGGGGTTTAAGACGGGGGTTTAAAATGTAATAAAAGGTATCGATGGAAGTCGCAGGATTAATTCCTGCCCGGAATTAAATTTTTACCTCGCTCTTACTCTAGTAGCTAATTAAATTATTGGCTAGACAGAACAGTCAGTTCAAAAAAAACAGAACAGTCAGTCAGTTTTTTTTATTTTGGGAAGAAAAATCAGACGTTAAATATAGAGGTCGTGGGAGGTCGTAAAGTGAGTTCTAAAAGTATACTAAAAATAAAATTCCTCACTTGGATAGATTATGCTTCGGATATACTTTAAAGTCCTAGCCCATCCTACAGTATAATCAGCAACTTCCAAGCATTTGCCTCCTTTATTATAGCATTTCGATACATCCCCGCAATACTTTTTGTGCCTTTCAACATATCCCTTTTTGACTCCATCAAATTCTCCATTCCTCAGACTGAAAGAGAAGGGCAACCTAAAGATTAAATTTTTACACAAATTTTTCAATAAAACTAACAGATTTGAAGCAATGGCTGAGTAATTGAAGGTATCCTCTTTATCGAATGGAACATCCATCAAGCAATCGGTCAGTTCCTTGCTGTGTTGGATACCAAAAACCATATTCAAATCATATTTGTTTTTTATGACGGCAGGATCTGGAACAGCAAAATCAATCGAGCATCCTTCCTTCGTTGTTTTGGAATGTTTGAGGTACCAGATAGTTCTATTAAATAAAGTATTTTCGACTAACGTTATATGTTCACTTACATATTTCCATCCCTGTCCATTTCAACATCACAAGAACCAGGTTGACTTTTGTAAAGTTCAAGATCCTTAGGTTTCTCGGCTATCTTTGTGTTTACCCGCAGCTTTACAATCTTCCCGTTGACCAGCTCATGCTTGCCATGCCCAACCAAGTCACAATAGACAATGCTGACAACCAACAACATCAGAGCCACAAACCGCACGAAGAAAGCGACAGAAGCCATCCCAGGAGCTTTCGAAGGAAAATGAAGATACGTAGATTACAGGTGTGTTACATTATCTGGTTTATCCGCTTTTTATACTATAGAATCTGCATATCTTACTGATTTATAATTTTGGTCTCTTTTAAAGACAGATGAGAAGATAAATGAACATTCGAAGACTAAAACGATAAAAATTGAAAATTTAGTATGATTAGTTGGAGATATTTAGGTATTGTGAGGATTTAGAGCGATATGAAAGAATCTCCACGTATTCCCCATATCCATACAAATCCTTTGTCATTCCTTATATCCCCATATTCCTTCCAAACACCTGATATCCTTCGTAATCCTCCGGCATCTCTTCAAATTACCCTTAATCTTTTCCATTTCACCAATATTTTTGGCTTAAAAATACAGCATAAACTCAAAAAATTTTCACAAAAATATCTAATTTATTCTCGTCTTCGTTTAAAAATGGCAAACTACCAAACAAAAACTCGCGAAAATAATTTTTCAATGAAGCAAGAAACGAAATAAAAAAGGAAATAAAGCTTCAAACGTAACAAGAATTTTTGTGTATCTCGATTAAGTCCTTAATCAGCATAATTTATCTCGAAAAATAAAATTTTTTAACTTGAAAATTTTGCTACTTTTTTGAATAAATTACCGTATTTCCTCTAAAATAGGCCACCCACCAAAATAAGCCCCATCTAGAGGACGATCAAAAAAATAAGCCCCCCTTCAAAATAAGCTCACTCCACCATAAATTTTTTAATTGTTAATTAATTGTTGAGTCCCCTAAGTTGAGTCCCCATGGAGGGATATAGAAGGATTAGAAGTGATTAAGAGGGTGTTTGGGATGGATATTGGAGGGATTAAGTGGGATTTCGGTAGATTAAGAGAATAAGAGAGCATTCAGCATAATTCATCTCGAAAAATAAATTTTTTAAACTTGAAAATTTGCTGTAGTTTTGGTTTTGAATAAATTATTTTTAAATTTTATTTTCTTTCGTTTTGTTCGTTGATATCTAACAGAAAAAATAAGAATCAATTTTAGCTTAATTCTTCAGTTGATATTTTTAAATTTAATTTCTAAATTTAATCATTTATTTTCTGCTGTTTAAATAATTTTAAAAATTTTAAGCAATTTTAGATTTTTTTTTCAATTTTTTGCGTAGAGAGCGGCAATAAATATTTATAAATTTAAAAATTATTTAAAAAATATTTTTAAAAAATGTGGCAAAAAATATGAGGAAAAACGAGCTAAAATTGATTCTTCTCCCTTTAAAAGCCGTTCAAAATAATTATTTATTAAATTAATTCCAAATAAAAAATTATTCAATTCACAAGTTTTTCTAAAAAAAAGAAATTTTCTTAAAAATGTTTTCAATAAATATTTTAATAATTATTTTTATTTATTTAATTTTTGTATTATTTCAATTAAATACAAGTCAACTACAATTTTGTCAAAATCGAGGAGAAAATTGCGATAACTTTTTTTCATGTTGTCCAGGGCTAAATTGTAAAAATTCCAAAATAGGAGATGGAAAGTATCAATATAAATGCTTCAAAGCTGGTTGTGTTAAAGAGGGGAATTTTTGTGATGATAAAGGCTACATGTGTTGTTATGGTTATAAATGTGTTAATTCTAAATGTACAAAATGCACAACTATTTTTAACAATTGTAATTCAGCAAATGACTGTTGCTCTGGAATATGTGTTAAAAAGCAAACTAATGTTTATCCAAATATGCAGGTCCCAAACAATGATCAGACTAAAGCGTGCGCACCTCCTATAAACGCACCCCGTTACTGAACATTGGAATTTATTTTGAATCACACTATTTTGGGGATATTCAACTCTTTATAAATTCATCTTTTTAATCAAACTTTAATCTTTTTTTATTCGGCAATATTTTCTTTTAGGGTACCCAAAAAGGGTAAATTTCTTTGGGTATTCTTAAAAATATTTTTTTCCACAAAATTAATTCAAAATTCCCAAAATTAATTTAATAAAATTCTTTAATTAATTTATATTTGAATTAAACTTTGCATAAAATGTACCTTTTTTAATTTACAAAAATATAAATAACATTTTAAATGAATTTTTATACGCACGGACACGACGTTTCAGAAAAAAGGATAATGTAATAAAATAGCTAGGTAATAAAAAATTTGCTTGATATAACAATTTAAAAGCTGCCAAAAATATTTTAATGTGAGCTGGGAGGGAAATAAAAAATGGCTGGGAGTTGACTCAAATAATTAGGGTGTTATTTAAAGCAGGGCTGTGCGCCAAAATTTTCGCGTGGCGCGCCAAACGCCAATTTTTTAAATTTTAAAAACACGCCAAACGCCAAAAATCGGCCAAAATCAACGCCAAACGCCAAAATTTTTAGAGTCTATAAAGACTTAAAAATCACTGTTCATCTCATTTTAGCGCTGCAGGCGAAATTTTTTTAATTTTCAAGATTCCCAGAAGCCAGAATTCATCCTTTTTTTACCGCCGGAGTGAAATTTTTGAAACGCAAAACCAAACGCCATGACGCACAGCCCTGATTTAAAGCATAAACTGTTGTTCGGTTTAATAAACCGAAGATTCTGGTTCGCTTCCAGCCGTTGATTCCAACAACTATAGTCTAGTTAGCTTTATTGTATAAATAATCGAATCTAGATATAAAAAATTAAGAGGATAAGATAAAGTTCATTATACGCATGTTAAGTAAAGATTTTTAGATAAATTTTAGACAGGGAACGATAAGTTTTGAATAATTTCGAGAATTTCGTTAAAAACTCTAATTTATTCTCAACAGATATTAAATTAACTACTATCCTATCTATATAATATACAATTTACAAATGTCCTATATTAAATAACAAATATCACAACAATTCCTATATACATATTTATCCAACTATTCAGAATCCTTTCTTTTTATTTGCTTTTGCTGACGAATAGACAGATGAGAAGAGCGGTGAACATTAGAAGCCTAAAAACAAAAAAGAATATTTTCAGTCCAAAAATCCTTCTAAAATCCTTACAATATTATAGAGCCAACAATAACGAGAGTAATTTGCAAAGTTTTCTTTGAATCCTTTTTTGCCGGACAGTCAACATCCGGACAGTCACAAATACAAGGAAAACAGTCAACAACTGGACAGTTTTCTAAAGGCGAGCGGCTAACTATCGTTGTAGTTTCACTAACTCCCGTAGTCGTTTGTTTTTTGACAGGATCATCAGGAACGAGCATTTTGTAAGCTCCACCTGGCTTAATTAAATAAGAGATTTAGAATTTTCTTTTTTAGTTCCCAACTTACAAATTTCACAAACATTTTGTCACACTGTTGGAATGCCGCATTTTCATTACAATTCTCCTTATCCGCATCCTTATCACATTTAATCCAAATATTTTGCATACTTGTTTGCATTGAAGTTGTTGGAAGAATGTGGAAAGTAAAGAGATAATTGAAGAATGTATGGGTGTAGTCCCTATCCGTAATTCTCCATTTTTTTGGGGTGCGAACATTCTCATTTTTAACACAAAAATAGGTTGGCGTGGTTTGACCGCAACCTCTAAATTCCTTATTATAATAATGAAGAGCTGTTTTCTTATGCTTATTATGCTCCTTTTTAGTAATATCACACATCCCATAATTAGTCTCGCCAACTAAAAATAAATAAATTTAAATTGGGTAGATCTACGAGATCTATCTACGGTATTTCCTATCTATTTAACACAGTCGGATGTGCCATTCTGGAAGGAAAATCTCACGTTAAAGAATGTGGTACTAGTAAGTTCCGACTGTGTAGAAAGAAATTAAAATTCCTCACTTGGATGATATGTACTTTTGATCTTATCTCCATCTCGAGCCCATCCAATAGTATAATCAGCGACATCCAAGCATCTGCCTCCTTCATTATAACATTTGGACAAATCCCCACAATAATTTTTGTGTTTTTCCGCATATCCTCCTTTGACTGTATCGAATTCACCATTCTTCAGACCAAAAGCGATGGCCAGCCTAAAAATTGAATTTTAACGCATTTTTTACTAAAAACGAACGAATTAGAAGTCATAGCCGAAGGATTGAAGGATCTAAAGTTAGTAGATGATATATCTGCCAAGCAATCGGCCAGTTCTTTATCGTGCTGGATGCCAAACTCCATGAAGAATTCACTTTCATCGACTCTGAGTTCTGCAATGGCAAAATCAATCGAGCATCCTTCCTTTGCTGTGATGGAATTTTTAAGGTACCAGATTGTTCTGTTAAGTGAGTGAATTGTTTTTAGACTGTATATGTACTTACATATTTCCGTCCTTGTCCATTTCAACATCACACGAGCCCTCTTTATTTTTGTAAAGTTCAAGATCCTCAGGTTTCTTGGCTATCTTTGTGTTTCCCCGCAGCTTTACAATCTCTCTGTCTTCCAGCTTATGCTTGCCATGCCCAACCAAATCACAATGAACAATGCTGACAACCAACAACACAATAGCCACGAACTGCACGAAGAAGATGACAGAAGCCATCGTAGGAGCTTTCGAAGAAAAATGAAGATACGTAGATGAAGATTGGACATTAAGCCTAAGAAGGGTGTTATTTCTAAACATTAAAGTAGAGTCAGTGCAATTAAAAGATAAATTAAAAAACGATTACGAGGGAATTTGGGGGATTTATAGGAATATCGAGGGATACGAGGAATTTACATGAATTAAGAAGGGTTAAGAAGATTTCACCTTATTCATCAACTCATTGCTTTATGCTTTTTGATGACAACAAAACAGTTTTGCCTCTTTGGCTTTTTAGGACCTATAATCATTAATATAGTAAAGCAGCTGGGCTATAGCTATTTCTCTATTTCAGCCAGTGCAAAAGGTTATTAAGCGGCTGGGACGAACCATAATCTTCAGTAAACCGTTCTGATGTGTTATCCCTTACAAAACGGAGCCTACTGCATAGCCTTAGTAATTAATATAGGCTCTAAATTATTCAATGATACATACTTATTCAACAATAACAAGCTTAATTTTCCTTGTTTTCTACAATACATATTATAAAATTATATAAAAATTTTTAGAATTTTTTTTCCATTTTTATTCCCATTTTTATTCAAAAAATTAAATTAATTTATTGTCACTTCAAAAAAATTTTTTTTCAATTTCTCACAAATCATCTCTCTTCTCTAAGAAGGTCTCCAATTATAATCAACACTTAAATTACAAATTTTTTGTTTCTCAGAATTTTCATCAGAATATTGTTTCATAAAAGGTTTATTCCAACCACCAAAAGAATATTTTGAATAAAAATCATCAAAATTATTTATTCCATCATAATGGGCATACCACAAAGGAATTTCAGTTGTTAAGGAATATTTTTGTTCATTCCCAGTAATTTTTGTCCAAAAATATTTTGATGCATAAATACCAAAAGGTTGATTGTTTTCGTTTAATATGTTAATCATTCCCTTTAAAAAATATAATTTTTTTGAATAAAAATAATTTTGAAGAGGAAATAAAGTAGCTTTAGAGGGAGAGGAAGTGGCTCTAGAATTCTTTCCTTTCATCAAAAGGGAAAAAGGGAGGAAAAAGTAGAAAAAAATTCTTTTAAAAAAAGACTTCAGCCTATTTTAGAATTACCGTAAATTCTCCAATAGAAGCAGAGGTGGGTCGGAACAGTCAGAGGTGTCGGAAATCGGAACTGGCTCAAAAGTCGGAACTCGGAAATCGGAAATAAAAATTTTTTTCGGAAATCGGAAATCGGAAGGAAAAAAACGTCGGAAATCGGAATTCCGACCCACCTCCAATAGAAGCACACCCTCTAATATAGGCACACCTACAAGAGGACAGAAAAATAGAAGCACTTTTAGAGAATTTAAGGTAACTGGGTTTTGTGCACACGTCTCCATTCAAGACCCATGCTCAGATTGGTCGTGACTATAAGCTAACTTCAGAAGCTATCCCTCATTATTCAATACGGTTTTTCAAATCTAATTGGATATCTGAGGTCCAAATATATTTTAAAATCCCCCCTTACATCAATAAATGCAATATTTTTTTCCTTGTCTTCATACCAATAATAAGTTTGATTTATATTATTTTCCCCAGGTTCGCCTTCAATATCTAACCAAACTCTGCCAATTTTTACATTATTACAATTTAATTCATTAAGAACTGAAGTTATAGTTTCGCTAAAAATAATAGAAAATATTTAATATTTTTTAAATTTTTTTGAAAGATTGATAAAATGAAGTTTTTAATTTTATAAAATTTTTTTATAAAATTTTAATAAGAATGCTTCCAAAAATCAAATTAAATTTCATTCTATCAGATATTTAATTCCAAATCCGATTATTATTTTAGAAAATTCATTTGGATAAAAAGAGGAACAGAACTATAATATGAATGTCTTTAAATTTTTTCAATACAGAACATAACCGACAAAAATTGAGTATAAAATAGCGAAGTGTCGGTAAATGGAGGAGCCGGAAATCGGAACTGGCTCAAAAGTCGGAACTCGGAAATAAGAAAAAAAGACGTCGGAAATCGGAAATTCTGACCCTCCTCTGCCTCTAATCTTTCCTTCGAAAAATAAATTAAACTGTGTTTATAACAAGAGCTTTTTTTGTTTATTTTTGAAATTATTTTCGAGAAAAAAATTTTTTTAATAATTTTCAAAAATTAAATTATTACTAGAATTAATTAAAAATATTCTTCTTCTTTTAAATTTTACCTAGCATTTCCACACGTAACATTTTTATATTTAATTAATTTTGGTTTAACACAAGGAAAAATATAAATATCAACATCCTCAAATCCTGCTCCTCTAGCATTTTTAATATTTTTAATTAAATTCGAATCGACTAAACCAACAGAACGTCCACCACGAATAATTACAAATTTAGCCGATAATTTTTCTTTTAAACAAGTAAAATCGTCGAGAGTTGTTAATTGAAATAAATCAATTCCTTCCATTGAATTTATCGAATTTATTGAAATGAGAGAATAAAAAAAGAAAATTTGAGCAAAAAATTGGAAAGAATTTTGGGGAAAATTGGAAGACATTTTTTTAAATTTTTTTAAAAATAAATTCTAGAGAGCTATATAAAAAAAATTGGAAAGAATTTTTTAAATTATTTAATGATAGTTAATTTTATATTTAAAAAAAGAATATTGATTTCAAAGTAAAAAATTATTTATTTATTTATTTAGCTATTTATTTGGCAATTTTTTTTAGTTTAGTTAGTCATAAAAAAGAGCCTTTTTAGTTGTTAGTCATAAAAAGAGAAACTTTAATCTTTGAGGAAAATATTTTAAGCAAAATAAATATTTTTAACTTTAGACTAAAAGTTGGACCACGACACCTTCGGGGTTTGAAAAGTTAGGTGCTTGTCAGAGTTGATAATGTTGGGATCTCGAACCGGGTCCGACAAAATGGTTCGGATTCGAGTTAAAATCTTTATCGAGTCAGTAGACATTATTATGTTTATGATCAGACATAATTTTAAGTTAAAATGCCCCTAAACTCCCAATAATCATTAAATCAGGATAAAGTGAGGCTCCGAAGAGCACTAAAATAAGGTAAATGGAACAAGTATTTATTGTGATTATGAAGGGCGGGTAGATGATAAAAACGTAAAGAAAATGTATAAAGTATAGGGTTTAGGGAGTAAAGCTGAAGGACAACAATTTAAATAAGATGGATGGGAAAATATTTGAAAGTTGGACGGGGGAATTATTTAAATATATTAACAAATGGGGACAAAATAGATAGAACGAAAATTAAATTAATAAAATATTCAATCACGGACATAACAGAATTGAACTTAGTTAAGGGTGGATTAACTAAGTTCAAGTCTGTTAATAACAGACTTGAACTTAGTTAATCCCAATCTTAGTTAATCCCAATTTTCCACGTAAAAATTGGGACAAGGTTCTGAACTCTCAGTGTTCGAACATTTAATTATTTTTAAACTTTCCAAAATTATCATATTTATACATTTGTACAATTTAACATTAAAATTATTATTTATTTATTTTCCATCCTTTTAAAGGAGTACTTTTTTAAGATTTTAAAAATTAAAAAAATGTTTTTTTGACTACTTTCTACGAATTTTAATTTTATTAAAAAAATTTTTTTTTGTTCCTTCAATCCTCTCTCTCCTTCACATTTTCCTCTCTCTCCTCCAGCTTTATTAATTCTCATCTTTTTTGTATTCATTGTAGTAAACCTGCCAGTCTCGATAGGTTTTGTTGTTTTTAGTTTTATTCAAAACTAATATTAAAGCATTAAATACTGAAAAAATAAAATGTGTAATTTTAATTTAAAAAATTCCCAGACATTTAATGTTCGATTCCATTTTCTCTTGTGCTTCTTCTGCCTTTTTGCACATTTTTTCAGCTTCAGTTTGTTTTTTGATAAAATTGACGATAAGTGGCAAACTTGCTTTACCCGCAAAACCGAAGAGTCGTTTAAATGTTTTCTCAAATTGACGATAATTTTCTTCTTCCTGAATTAGAAATAAAGGGGGGGGGTATTTAAAAATACTTTAATTACTGTATATGCGTGAATAATTGCCTTGGGTAATTATTGTTTCGACCTGTTAATGGAGGGGGTATTTAATATAACGTGAATAATTATTTGAGAGAGGGTAGATAATTAATCGTATATGGTATGCTCGAATAGTTACCCTCTCCAATAATTCCCCCTTTATCTCTCTTTTCCCCGCACTAATTTTGAAAATATTTGAAGAATCTTTATCAACTTAAATTAATTGAACAGTTTAAAAATTAATGCTAATAAATAAATAAATTTAATCGAGATCCACTTCAACTTTAGCACACCCTTTCTATTAATTGCCCCTACAATGAGATGTTAAAACAATAATTATCCTATTAGTTGAGCATATTTGGGGATGTGAATGACTGACTGAATGACTGTCTATGAAACAGTTGATTAAATAAAAGGGAAGTACTTGAGCATGGGCAGTTATTTTCAACGAAAATATGACCAGCTCTTGAATTATTAGCAAATAGCCGACTTTTTTAATCATTGTATTCAAAAAAGTATTTTTATTTTTTCACTCTACTAACTACCCCTACTACGAGAGGTAAGACATTAATTATCCAATTATCCAGGCATATACTTTAACTTACATTTCCTTTCTCAACTCCAACAAGTGACCAAAGCTTTTCTGGAGTATTTTTATCAGAAAGATTTAAAACAAAAGCTAATTCTGCAGCTGTTGTTTTAAAATTTTCGCGTTCTGGACCTTGAGGGATATCCATCATTAAATCTGTTACGAATGAAACATTTTCTTCAGTTTTGGTGGAGGTAATAGTTTCAGAACCAAAAAATTTTTTATTCAATTTTTTTACTTCTTTGGTTATATAATTTTTGTAATTTTCCTCGAATCCCGTCTCTCCCGAGTTTTCTCCCTTCTCTCCACTCTTTTCTCCCTTCTCTCCAATCTTTTCTTCCTTCTCTACACCCTTTCCTTCCTGTTCCTTCCTCAAATGGTTCTGCTTCTTCTTCAACTCTTCCTCCTCATTTTTATTAATCATTTCTTCCTCTTTCATTAATTTTCCTTCTACTCCCTTCAAATTTCCTCCCAAATTAAATTTTTCAGTAAATTCAGTAAATTTCTCTTCACTTGGACCGCTTAACTTTTCCTGTTTAACACCTCCCTCCACATTAAGCTTTTCAACTTGAGGCGTTTCCTTTTTAGTATCCTTTACAGATCCATTAATGTATTTTGGTTCAAAAGCCTTATTATCTACCGAAAATTTTTCTAAACAAAAATTTCTTTAATTTTAGGAATTTTTTATTAAAATTATACCTTTATTAGTTGCCGTATCGATAACCGGTTTATGGTTGTCGGTTGATGTAGCCATTATTTTATGATTTTTATTCATTTTCCGCATTGACAGGTTTGAGAATGGGGCAGATCTATGTTAAAGAAATTTTTATAAAAAATTTTTTTGTTAAAAAAATTTTTTTATGACCCTCAGGAATTAAAAAAAAAAATTTTTATCAAGAAAAATACTTTGAAGCAAAAATGGTTTGAGATTCCATTTTTAAGGGCTTGGGCAAGATTCCTGTTCCGGCGCTAGAATGGACTAGAATCCCTGAGATTTGTTGAACAAAGAAAATTAACAGTATGGCAAATATTTTAAAGGGTATTGTTGAGGTAATTAACATTATTTCTAATTTTATTTTCTCTTTTTTGAGTGAGGAGGATTTAAGAGAGTAGTAAATTTTTGGAGAGGGGATTTTTTAATTTAAATTAAGTTGGTTGATTGACTGATAATCAAGTAAATATATATACGCGCCTTGGTTGGGCGGTAAAGGCAAAAAAATTTTTTTTATTTTATGGCCATAAGCATGGGTTGACCTTTTTCATGAGACGTCTAGCAAATCTTGAGGGTTTTCCGACATGTATTTCAATGAAAATTGAGTTGCGCATTGTTGCACTTGTAAAGGCTTTTTAAAAATATTATTGAAATACACGTGGACATCACTTGTATTTTCCCCGTTATATGTTTTGTATTTTTTGTTTTAATTTTGTATTTTTCCGTTATTTTTCTCCAGAAAAGTTTTTAAAGAATAAATGTGTTTTCCGGAATGTATTTATGAATATTTCTGGAATATTTTTATTTAACCTCGTCTAGCAACCACAACAAAACTGGCCATTAAATTAATTCACTTTATTTTATTTGTTAACCGGAAAAGAATTCCTTTTGTGTTTCCCTCCCGAAATTATAACATGACCAAGTCAGGGGGAAAAGCGGATGTTTTGAGGATGTGAATGACCGACGAATGACTGTCTAGTGAAAGCACTTGATTAAACAAAAGTCATAGGGAAGTACTTTGGCATGCGCATTTATTTTTCAATGAAATTGACTAGCCTTTGAATTATTGGCAAATTGCCGACTTTTAATAATTTTATTCAAAAAAGTGTTTTTATTTTTTGTTAGTTTATTCTACTATTATTCTACACAACTACAATATAATATACTACAATTTATAAACAGATTATCCTATATTAAATAACAAATATCCCAACAATTCTTATATTTATCCAACTATTCAGAATCCTTTCCTTTTATTTACTTTTGCTGACGAATAGACAGATGAGAAGAGCGGTGAACATTAGAAGCCTGAAAATTAAATAAATATTTTTTGGCCAAAAATACTTCTAAAATCCTTACAATATTATAGAGCCAACAATAACGAGAGTAATTTGCAAAGTTTTCTTTGAATCCTTTTTCGTCCCTTCGTTGTGGCAATCATTTGTGGATGGTTTTGTAGTTGACGGTACTCCAGTCAAACTACTTCCATTTTTAGACTTTATTTCGACTTTTTCAGTTGACTTTTCTGGATGTATAGGATTGGAAACAACGTTCGGACAGCCAGTGACACAAGGTGGGCATTTAGCATCATCAGGACAATTACCAGCATCCGGGCAAGGAACAACAGGCGGACAGGTAGCCATCGTTGTCGTTTCTTCTGTAGTCGTTTGTTTGACAGAATTATCAGGAACGAGCATTTTGTAGGCGAAAGAGTACTTAATTAAGAGTTTTTTGAAACTGATTCAACAAAAAATTCCCAACTTACAAATTTCACAAACATTTTGTCACACTGTTGGAATGCCGCATTTTCGTTACAATTCTCCTTATTCGCATCTTTATCACATTCAATCCAAATATTTTGCATGCTCATTTGCATTGAAGTTGTTGGAAGAATGTGGAAAGTGAAGAGATGATTGTAGATTCTATCGGTATGGTCCCTATCCGTAATTCTCCATTTTTTTGGGTTGCGAACATTTTCTTGTTTGAAGCAAGAGTAGGTTGGCGTGGTTCTACCGCAACCTCTAAATTCCTTATCATAAAAATGAATAGCTGCTGCCTTATGCTTATTATTCATATCTTCTCTAATATCACAATACCCATAATCAATCTCGCCAACTAAAAATAAATAAATTTAAATTGGGTAACTTAATTATAGAGAGTCAATATTTTTAGTCATATCTCGAGTACTGTAGAAAGAAATTAAAATTCCTCACTTGGATGATGAGTACTTTTGACCTTATCTCCATCTCGAGACCATCCAATAGTATAATCAGCAACATCCAAGCATCTGCCTCCTTTTTTATGACATTCGGACAGGTCCCCACAATAATTTTTGTGTCTTTCCGGATATCCTCTTTTGATTCCTTCAAATTCACCATTCTTCAGACCGAAAGCGATGGCCAACCTAAAAATTAATTTTTTAGCGTGTTTTTTTTTTTATAAAAAACGAACGAATTAGAAGTCATAGCCGATTGATTGAGGGATAACCATTTAGTAGAAGACATATCCGCCAAGCAATCGGTCAGTCCCTTATCGTGTTGGATGCCAAACTCAATGAAGAACATGTCACTGCCTCTTAAATCTGCCATGACAAAATCAATCGAGCATCCTTCCTTTGCTGTGATGGAATTTTTAAGGTACCAAATTGTTCTGTTAAATGAAAGTATTTTCGATTAACGTTATCTGTTCACTTACATATTTCCGTCCTTATCCATCTCAACATCACAAGAACCCGGCATCATTTTGTAATATCCAAGATCCTCAGGTTTCTCGGCCATCTTTGTGTTTCCAAACAGCTTCACAAGATTCCCATTTTCGATCTTATGCTTGCCATGCCCAACCCACGCGACCCAATCACAATAGACAATGGATACAACCAGCAAGAAGATAGCCACAAACCGCACGAAGAAAGCGACAGAAGCCATTCCAGGAGCTTTCGAGAAAATTGAAGATACGTAGATTACAGGTGTGTTATATTATCAGGTTTATTTGCCTTTTATAGTAATCACTTAAGCTGTCCACGACCGAAAATTTTCCGAGACTCGAGACTAAAATTAGACTTCAAGAGCAAAACTTGACACCAAGTCCAACAATTAACAAGTCTCAAAACAACATTTAGTTCCATAGGCATCGAACTTACACACTCCTAGTAGCGAAGCTAGGCGCTCTCGCTCACTACGTATGGGTTTTCTACGGACTGAGCTACAGGGCGATGCTTTTAACTTATCATTTAATAAAAGATCCTGAATCCAAGATTAGTAAGCTGAATCTTTTTTCGTTCCTACAATATTAAAAATTTTTTTTTCATAATTTTATTCCATTTATGAATAGTGGCGGCAATTTGTTTAGAAACTAGTTTTTTGAAATTTTAAAAGCTTATAAATTGGAGAAAATAGTCTTTAATTTACATTTTTTTGATTAAAAAGGAGAAAGAAAAGAAAATATTTTCAACAAATTACTTAAAACGGCAAAAAGTAGCTTTGGAATTAATTGATACTGTTTTGGAGTCCGCAAATTCTTTATAAAGAATCTGAATTTTCTTCAAATTAAAAAGTTTTAGAGCGGTACAGACTACAAACTTTTAATGATGGGCGAAAATGATAATGTTGTTGCTGATAACAAAGTTGAACAAGAAGAATACGAATCAGATGGCTCACTCATAATTATTTTTGTGGCTGTTGAGTACATAGGGGGGGGGTTGGGTGTTTTTTTTTGGGTATTTTTGAGATTTAAAAAGATTAAAATTAAATTTTGAATCATGCTGAAGACTGGGAGCGTCGTTACTCACGGATTATTTCTTTGCGGATTATCCAATAATCCCAAAAGTCGTCAATTAGTTAAAAATTAATTTGCAGATCAAATACGGTTCTTTCTATGAGCCTAATTTATAATTCAGCACAAAATAATTAAGGGAGTCATGCAGAACTCCCCGTCCCAAAAATTATGCATTTGAGGAGCACAAGATCTAAATAAATACTTTTGCTAAAAATATTAAATTGAATAAAAATATAATTTTATATATTAAGCATTTTCCCTGGTAAAAATGTTTTTTTCAGACCTGCTCACGGATACTGATTTTGGCATCCGTATCCGGATATTTTTGCGGATACAGGCGGATATCCGCAGGCATATGACATTATCTGTATCCGTATCCATGAGCAGTCTGGTTTTTTTGCAGAAATTTTTTTAAATTTTATTCACTTAAAATGTCCGCATAAATGACGCTTCCTCCCTAATTTATTTTTACAAAATTTTATACTAGGCTTGTTCAATTATCGGCCTTCTTGTTTGTACCTCTATTAATGATAATAATGGCGATGTTGGCGAAAATAAGAGAACAATTTTATTTAAAATATTTATATCAAAGAAGCAACAACAAAACAACCAAAACATCCAAAAAAACTGCGTTTTTCTTCATACTATTTTGGTGGCAAAACAACAAAAACAAAATACAAAAACACAGTAGACAAAACACAAATAGAAAATAGACAAATACATAAATATGTGGAACACTCTCTAAAAATACTGGAGCTTCAAAATTTGGGAAAGAAAATACAAAAAGTAAAGGAAAGTAGCTAAAGGTGTTAAATTATAATTCAGATAATACTATGCCTAAGATACTACACCTTTTATTTAATAAATATTAGTAGAGAGAGAAACTTTGTGATAATCATTGACAATATTTAATAATAAAAAAATTAAAACAAAAAATCATTCTCAAAATGTAATCCCTTATTATCCACTATCTTCTGTTTGTTTTGATATTTCGTAAAATAGGTATTAATATTTATTTTTTAAATAGAGGAAGGATTCGATATCACAGCGATATTGACAGATTCTCCCACCTCCCCGAAAATTTCACTGCTTTTATAACCGTCCGCTTATACGTTTATCACGTTTTTTTCCCGCTTTACTTTTACTTATTCTTTTTAATTTTTTCCACTTCTTTATTTCTTGTTAAAAATAATGTTTACATGAAATAAAAAATATATAATTTTATATATTAAGCATTTCTTCTTATAAAAATCTTTTTTTTTTTGCAGAAAAAATTTTTTTAAGTTTTATTCGCAAATAAAATTTAAACAAAACTTTATTTACTTTAATAGACGGACATTGTTTTAAATTTTTTAAATATTTTTGGTTAATTTTTGTTTTTTCTTTTTTTTATTCTCGAGTTTACAGCAAGCTAGAACAATTACATATAGTATATTTTTTGAACAATCCTTTCAAAGCAAAAAACGGGGGAGAATTGTTTTCAAGATCTGTCATCAAGTTATATTTTTTACGATTCGCTTGCTTGCCCTACTTTTTTAATTTAAAATTTATTTTGGCATTCCTTGAGCTTTGTTTAAATGAATATATTTTTCATATTCTCTTGTCAATATTTTTTTATGTTTGTAGAATTATGTATTCAGTTGATCTTTGTTAAAATTTCGCAGTTCTCTTCTTTATGTGCCTAAAGTCTGCAAATTTTATCCGCAAAATAAGAGAGAAATGAAAGAAAAAATCCCGAAATCTTTCAGAAAAATTTTGTGAATCCAAAATTATTTTCAATATATTCCCGAAACAAAATATGTATGTCGGAAAGTCTTGATTTTCGATGATCGGAAGGCACTTCCCTAATACTTGATATCTTCTTAAATGTATCAATTTTTTGCGGATTTATGGATTATTAATTGCATTTTTCAACAAAACTTCACTAGACCTAGACTTACCCTAACAATTAATTATATCTTCCTATAGGATGAAAGTTATAACGGAATCCAAATATATTTAAATAATCAAAAAACAAATAATTGGGAAGACGACGCTCTACAATGAATAACAAATAACTAATAAAAACAAAAATTATTTCCTCTAAAAATTAAAAATAAATAAGAAAAGCTTCAAAAATTTGTTCAGAAAAAGAAAAATTAAAACCAAAACGATCTTCTCGAATGAGTTTGGGTTATTTATTTTGATATTTATATAAGAAAGTTGAGAGAGAGAGAAAGAGATTTGTTTTGAAAAAAGAGCATTCTGTTAGCAAGAATATCCAAAACTTATCGAGATATTATAGGTAAACTTCATCTTTAGAAGCTTCAAAATTAGATACACCTATTTATGAACATTTTTTTAATATGGTCACTAGGTGGGTGGAGGAGAGTGTCTAGGCGATACCCCTTTATTTAAGGTATGACATTATAATCTTTTTAGCCCCGAGGGGATACCTGATATGTACATTGTAAGGTCTGATGCAAACAGATTTCGAATTCCAATTGTTACTCGACTTTTGAGGACTTGAATTTGTTATTAACATTTTGCCTTCTTTGATTTTCAATGGAACTAATGGAGACAAACTAGGACGAATAAACGTTCCAGGACCAATTATTGTTCGGTTTCAAATCAAGACAGAAAAGGGAAGGTTTTCTCATGGAGGAACGAAAGCCAACATTAATTTTAAATAGAGTCGACATAAACTCTATGATAAATTGACTAAGATAATGTGAATAGTCGGATATCACTATAAAATATTTGTAGTAAATATTAGCCATCCTACATTATTTGATACGATTTTCCAGCTCTAATCGGATATCTGAGGTACAAAATACATATATTAAAAACATTCCCTACTACATCAATAAATTAATCCAATATTCTTTCCTTGTCTTCATACAAATAATTAGTTTGATTTTCAGTGTTTTCCCCATTTTAACATTCAATATCTAACCAAACTTTGCCAACTTTTAAATTAATAAAATTTAATTTGTTAAGAACTGAAGCCATTGTTTTCTAAAAATAAAGGAAAATATGTATAAAAATATTTTCAAAGTTTTTTAGAAGGTTACCAAAAAACTGACAAACGGGATTACCAGAAAATTGAAAATCAATTTCCGTTACGGGATCTTAGTATTGTGATTTTCTTCATTCTAGATTCTAGATTATGAGAGTCCACAGATTAAAGAAATATTTTTAAAAATTAAAAGAGGCTGCTTAAAATTAAAATATTCTTCTTGTTTTAATTTTACCTAGCATTCCCACGAGTAGAATTTTTATTTTGATTTAATTTGGGTTTAACACTAAGATAAATATGCACATCTTCAAGTTGAATAATTGAAAAAGTCAGTCTAGACATCTTTTCTGGCGCCAAATGGCTCGAATAAAAGCACATCTTCAAGTTGAATAATTGAAAATGTCAGTCTAGACATCTTTTCTGGCGCCAAATGGCTCGAATAAAAGCACATCTTCAAGTTGAATAATTGAAAATGTCAGTCTAGACATCTTTTCTGGCGCCAAATGGCTCGAATAAAAGCACATCTTCAAGTTGAATAATTGAAAAAGTCAGTCTAGACATCTTTTCTGGCGCCAAATGGCTCGAATAAAAGCACATCTTCAAGTTGAATAATTGAAAAAGTCAGTCTAGACATCTTTTCTGGCGCCAAATGGCTCGAATAAAAGCACATCTTCAAGTTGAATAATTGAAAAAGTCAGTCTAGACATCTTTTCTGGCGCCAAATGGCTCGAATAAAAGCACATCTTCAAGTTGAATAATTGAAAAAGTCAGTCTAGACATCTTTTCAGGCGCTAAATGGCTCGAATAAAAGCACATCTTCAAGTTGAATAATTGAAAAAGTCAGTCTAGGCATCTTTTCTGGCGCCAAATGGCTCGAATAAAAGCACATCTTCAAGTTGAATAATTGAAAATGTCAGTCTAGACATCTTTTCTGGCGCCAAATGGCTCGAATAAAAGCACATCTTCAAGTTGAATAATTGAAAATGTCAGTCTAGACATCTTTTCTGGCGCCAAATGGCTCGAATAAAAGCACATCTTCAAGTTGAATAATTGAAAAAGTCAGTCTAGACATCATTTCTGGCGCCAAATGGCTCGAATAAAAGCACATCTTCAAGTTGAATAATTGAAAAAGTCAGTCTAGACATCATTTCT